TTTTTTTTGAGATGGAGTTTCGTTCTTGTTGCCCAGGCTGGAGTGCAATGGCACGATCTCAGTTCACCGCAACCTCCGCCTCCCGGGTTCAAGTGATTCTCCTGCCTTGGCTTCCTGAGTAGCTGGGATTACAGGCATGTGCCGCAACACCTGGCTAATTTTGTGTTTTTAGTAGAGATGGGGTTTCTGCATGTTGGTCAGGCTGGTCTCAAACTCCTGACCTCAGGTGATCCACCCACCTCAGCCTCCCAAAGTGCTGGGATTACCGGTGTGAGCCACTGTGCCCAGCCTTTGCTACCTCTTAATACGGCAGGAGACTCGACTACAGATTCTCCAGCCAGGTAATTCATCCATTGGAACAAGATACTCTTTCACTAAAATAATAATAATAATAATAATAATAATAATAAGTTTATCTTTCCTCAGTTTACAAGAAAAATAAGGGATTAGAGTAATGATGAAATTTATTTTATATATTTTTTCCAACTCTTTGGCATCTAATACTACTTTTCTGAAACAAAATAAATGTATAGATAAATATTACATGAAACACAAAGGAATGCCAATCATGCCTTACATATACACACACAATTTTATTTTATACCCCAAATATAGCAACAGTTTCTGCCAGTAAAATCTGCCTGAGTCACACGATGGACTTCAACTTATCAATATTTTGTGGGACTTGTTCCAGGAAGATCACTGTTACTACTAAATTTTCTGCCACCTGAATGTCTTTGACAGCTGGGTGGTCAGTGATCATTAAAATTATCTACCCATTTTTCAGAACTGTGAGAGCATATGAAATGATGTAACACAGACCACTTCTGGCTCTCCCACCTCTGTACAGAGGGCTCTGATAAAGGTGCTCTCAGCTCAACCAACTTCCCCATTCCCACTGCCCACCCACAATCACCACACTCTGCTTCCATGAGCCACAAGGGCTTTACAAGTGCTGAAACAAAAAGGGTGCAATGGAAGATCATCTTCAATTTTGAAGCCCTCACAGGCAAACATATAAACAAACAACAGCATAAATGCAAGAAGGGCTTTCATGGAGGTATGGCCAAAGTCACATGAAGTCAAAAGATTAATCACTGAAACCTTTCTAGTGAGGCCAAGGGAAGTCTCCTAGAGTGGGGACATTTCAACCACACAGCAAGGTGGGCTTAATGGAGGGGCGTTCTGGGCAAAGAAAACCGCTCCCAGTGTCTGGTGTGCCCTAAGCCCTCTTGCAAGTTCCAGCTCAGACCACCTCACCCTCTGGACTTTGCTATTATATGAAGACACCCGCAATCCTGGCCTCATCTCACTTCCCATTTCACCCACCACTTCCCAACTGAAACCTTAGATATTTATGCACAGCTTGTTTTTAAAATATCTTCCACACTCTTTAAAATAAAACTCCACTGTTGATACAAAAGTCACTGCAGACTTCCACCAGGTGACCAAATAGTTAATGCAGTAACCTGCAGGGGACGTATGAGCACCAAGCACCAAGCTCTGCAAGCTCCCATCACACTCTTCAGTAACATACATAAGCATGCGAAGCAGTAGGGCTAAGGTCTCACACGTCTTAATAGTATTTATTTTTAAAAACTCTAAAGGAAACATATTAAAGACACTTCTTGATTTAAAATAGTATGTTATATTTGGAAGGCAAAACATCTTCAGCATAATGTTTATATAAAGTCAGAAATTATCAGGTACCAGATTAAGGGTGATCTAAACTTAGTACTACTAACTGGATCACCATAAGAAGTGTCCCTCACTGTACATCTCAATGATTGACAAAGATGGAAAAAAATTGCCTCCTCCAAATAGGGGTCTGATGACAGCTGGCATGATTGGATTCAAAATTCACTACAATGTGCTAAAAGCTACCTTCTGCCTACATTTATTTTACAGGAGGCTTTTGAATCCCATAACATCTTTATGCCAAAAGAAAATCCAGCATGATGAACTATTTTATGTACTGGGGTATATGTGGTTTATGTTTTACCTTCAATTTCTTTTTCATTTCAGAAGTGTCTTGAATCTTCTTATACTCTTTTATCTCTGTGGTCTGAATGGCAGTCTTTGATTTCACAATCCAGTTCGACAGCTCTGCACTTATAGCATCAAACCTGATTGAAGATTCAGAGGTGACCATTTGTCATGTTTTCTTCTATTATTTTACTTGACTCCGGAAAGAGTAACCCAAATGCTCATCAGGACTATGTGCTTTTAACACTCCCCCAAAAGCAATAACCCAGAAATACGGTAACCAAATAAGATCATATATTTACAATTAAAAGTATGAAAAGAGTAATAATATTATAGTGTTAATAAACACTTGAAGAAAATAATCAAATAAAAATTTTTAAAACTTTATATATTCAAATAAGTTTTACCTTTATAAAGAATCACTTGTATTTTTATAAATGCTTGTAGATAATAAAAATCAGATTTGGTTAGATAATATCAGCAAAGAACAAGTACAGACATTCCTAAAGTTAACACCTTCTTTTCTTCAATATGTAATGATTGAGCCTCACTAAATGTCAGGCATTGGCCTGGGCTCTTGATATAAAAGTGAACCAGATACAAATCTCAGCTCTCAAGGAGCTTCTAGTCTAGTAAGCAATGGAAAGTAGCAGGCATTAACCAAAGAATTTGCTAGGTGCTAGTTCCAGGAATTCCCAGGAGTAGCTTCTAATCTAATCGGGGCATGGATGGCTTCTTAAGAGGAGAATGACAGCATTACATTGAGGAGTTTCCCTTGCCAAGGGAAAGCAAAGAAAGGGAAGAGCACATTTTGTACACTGTCAAGTATTAGTTAGGTGTGTCTGGAATAATGAGTACCGAACTCACAAGGGAGGGACAATTGACGATGTGGCCAAGAATCACATGGACCAGTTACGGGAAGGCCCTGCAGGACACATTACAGAGTTTGGACTTAACGCGAAGGCAGCTGAGAGCCAAGGGGGAGTTCTGTGCATGGAACTGACATGATTCTATTTAACCTTTAGTGTTCACCGAGGAGAAGGTATTAAAGACAGAAAAGAGCAGAGAACAGGCTGTGGTAGCAACGGGAGTCAAAACTAAGATAGTAGCAGTGGGAAAGAAGATGAAAAGGACAGGTCTGAGACATGTTGAGAAGATTGGTTAAAATCACAGCAGGAGGAACAAGAGAAGCCAGGATCACTGATTGCTGGCCCCTCTACCTGGCCCCTTTCTAAGTGTTTTATGTCTATCATTAACTCAAGGAATCCTCACCCTATAAAGTATACATTATTATTATCCCTTTTAGAGATGAAGGCACTCCACGCACAGAGGTTTTCAATAACTGCCTCATGTCACAAAGGTAACAAGGGATGAGGCTGGGATTCAAACTAAGATGGTCTGTCTTCTTAACTATTACCCTCTTCACATAGCTTCTCAGTACGTTAAGCAGTGACACAAGTTGTTACTGCTGATTTCTTGTGAGACGCTTTGCTTAAAGTGTTTCTGGTGAATAATGAATATTTTATCTTTTCATCAAGGTAGATTTTCCCTGTAATAGGTGAGGGATTTTGTGATGCTCTAGTTAACAGCTGGGGTCAAGGTATTGCTCAAACAGGGTACGTTCCTCCTCATCTTAACAACAGCTTTCTATACAATCTTTTAGAGAAGAAATGGCCACCTAAAAATCACATATTTACAATGACCTTGGAGACTCAGTCAACGTCTGCTCTCAACATGGGCAAGAGTGACACAATAATCACAGGTCACAGGAACAGATAATCAATATTCTAGGAAATAACTGTCCCTCTGTACCCTGAGCTGGTAAAAACAACCACACAGTAGCACCAGGGGAAGAGAACTGGAAGTGAGCTGCCATTTTTTAAGCATACATTTTAAACGAGGCACTGCATTGAGCAGTCATTTAAGGCCATCAATTATTGGGGTAGTTCATTTGAAGGCAAACTAAGAGTGGTTTCTACAGCAGACAGAAGATATAAAAGGGTCTGGAAATGATGTTACATAGGCATGGTTAAGGATCCCCTGTACTTTAAGACAATAAAAACTGGCATATAAAAGTTATCTTCAAAGACTGAGGAGGTCGTCACATTGAAAAGGCTATGTGGCTCCATATCACTCCAAAAGAACCAGCACATGTAGGTAGACTTAGAGGAGGCAGAATTTGAGCATAAAAATGACCTTCCTAATAATGAGATTTAACTGTAATGAACAGATGTATTCGCGGCTCTATTTGTCCAAGAATTAACTGAAGGAATGTCTGCCTCAGTCAAGTCGTGGAGTCAATAGCTGTGGTCCTTGCAGCTGGTTGCCCATGCAACAGACACCCCCTCTCTATAATTCTTCCTTGCTGTCAGAGTCCCGCAAAACACAACTACAGAGACTCGAAAGACCAGATAGTTTCAACCTTCCATGCACCCAGGGCATCAGCGAGAACAGGGCAGGAGTCTGCCAAGAAGACAAGGCTAAGAGTAAAAGCCAACACCCAAGAATGACAGAGACTGCAGATGGAGGGTTGCTGAACCACACCCTCCCATTAAAACAGCCCTACCTCCAAACCTCTTGTAATATGGGATCACCAATGATCTCATTGTTTAAGACACTTTGGCACAGTATTCTGTTTCTTACAGCACAATGTACCCTAAACAATACAGTCATGTTTAAAGTAAGATTTCACAGTATGTACCCTAGTCTTCTACAACCTTCTGTGCTTCCAAATGTGCAAAGTCAGTATTGGAGAGATACACTGCCAGATATACCAAGCAGATAATATGCACTGAGGAAATGTGAGATCTGTGCTAATATTAACATTAGAAGCATCTTCTTCCTGTGCTGTCTTGGCTCCAAAAGTAAAGGTTCCTCAAGGGCTGCTTGCAACTCAGAGGTATGCTGGTCCTATAGGAAGATGCAATTAGGAGGCAGAAACATAGCCTTATTATCAAAATAAAAACCATCTGGTAACATTGGAATGCTGCTTTGTCTAACAAAAGCTAACTTGGAGGAAGCATATAATTTTCATTCAGGCCCAGAATAACTGCCCATTTGCCCAAGAATGGGATTCTCCTATAAGAAGGAAAGAGTAACGTTATTCAAAGATTGTTTGGAGGATTACCTGCTACAGTTCATGTCAGGTACAGTACCTGCACACAGTATAATATAATAGAATAGCTGACATCAGTAAAAGCTCAATATATGTCAGCTGTGATTATTCTTCTTCTAGAGATCCTGAGGTTTTTTTTGGAACCAATAAGACTAAAAGAAGTATTTAATGCCAAAGATGGATCTTTAATCCAAATATGAAGAATATGTTAATTAATCTGACAAAGAAATTCACAAAAGAAGCAACAAAACATGAAAAAGAATAAGGGGAGAGGGGAAGAAAAAAGGACACTAGAATTCTTTTCCTATATTAAGTATTTTTAACGATAAGAAGAGGAAAGAGATTCCCGAAGAATAGGGATGTCTACCTAAAGCAAAATTGTCAAGTTGTGAAGTGAAAGAAAGAATAAAAAGAGAGATATGGACAATCATATCCTTCCAAGGAGAATAAAGGGAATGGAAAAAAGAAAGGTTCGATCACAAAGTTCTCCAAATTGAACATAGGATAAATAAAATCATCCAAGAAAATTTAGATGCTTAGCTAGTGCCAAGTAGAATATTCAGAAGACAGGGGCAGTGAGTGGTTTACTAGTTGGATTTTCATAACAATAATTATGTCTATATTTGCATATGATTAATGATAATGCAGTATGTACAATATTGCATTTGAACAATTTCTCTATCTCTTCTCACTTTTTCTTAGCTTCAATATCCACATGGATCTGTCTCTTCTTTGGGGGAGGAGGAGGAGGCAGTTCCTGCTTAGATTTTTTTGTAGTTACTTGTTCTCTTACACGAACAGTCTCCAAAAGGTCCTTCTGAGGAATCTGAGACATCCCCAGCTTTGCTACAGCCTGAGTCACCTGAAATAAAAGCCATCCAAAAGTTCAATTTTTATAACAGCTTCGTTGAGATGTAATTCACACGCTATAAAATTCTCCCTTTGAACTTTACAGTTTAATGGTTATTAGTATATTTATACAGTTGTATAATCCTCACACTCTGTCTCCAGAACATTTTATCACCCCAAAAAGAAATCCCATACCTATAAACCATCACTCCCCATTCCCCACTTCTACCAGTGGCAACCACTCATCTACTGTCTGTCTCTGTGGATTTTCCCATTGTGGACATTGCCTATAAATGGAATTATAGTGCAAACAATCTTGTAATTGGCTTCTGTAGTGTTTTCAGCGTTCATTTATGTTACAGCATATGTCAGTAGTTCATTATTTTGTATTATCAAATAATATTGTATTGTATGCACAAGCCACATTTTGTTTATCCATTCATCTCTGTGTGGATATTTGAGTTGTTCCACTTTTTGGCTTTTATAAATAATGCTGCTAGGAACATCTGTCTACAAACCAATGTTTTATGTTTGATTAATTCATTAAAATACTTAAATAATCTTATTAAAAGATTAGATTACTTAAGATTTAAGATATTTAGATTATTTATTGGCTAAGTGTAATCAGTGACTGTGAATTAAATTACAGGATAGTTAAAGAATCTATTAAAACTTACTTTAGAAAGGTGATTTTCACATGTCAATTTTTCCTCAGGTATAAGGAACAAACTTTTTAGTTTGTTTGCTACTATTTTATATAAATTAAAACTAACCTGAACATTTAAATTCTAAATGTTTATCTCATGGCACAACATATGACCCAAATCAAAAAATACCTGGTTGGAGGAATCTTCCAGTCTCTGAACCAAAGAATCCCATCTTTGAGTCAGTTCCTCTGAGTCACTGTTGATCTTCTTAGATGCCTTAGAATTATCAAGTAATTGTCCCACATCCTGGCCAACCTCACTCAGCTGATCCAATGTTTGACGCTTCATTTCCATGTCTTCCTTCAAAATCTAATATTTTGGATATTTATTACATGACTCTCTTTTAACAAGACTTTATCTTTCTGTTCCCCAGTCAAAAAATTTAAACATATATATTTTATAGTAAAATGTTCATGCTCTGCAGTTCACTCTGCTAAAACGTAACTCTCATGGTTCCATATTGTTACAGGACAGCAGTCTAATGCTAGGCAATGAGCTGTAATCTGTATTCACTAAATTGTATGAACCATTAGCTATACAACGTTATGAGATCATAGGCTTACAACACAGATGCTGACAACCACATCACTTACAGCCAGACGTCGAACACTGACACTTAGTTCTTTTTGGTCTTTGAAGTTGCTGGTCTGGACTTTATTTAAAGCCTCTTCTTTTTCGGTTAACCAAGCTTTCAATAAGCACTAAAAGTAATAACAGAAGATGAACTTTATCTACCGAATCATTTGGTAATTCAATTAAATCATGTGTCCAAGTTTCTAACTTTTATCAGAGGCTTCACCCTTACCTGGGGATAAGAAGGCCTTCAAACACCTAAGTCTGAGGCACAAATGACCCAGAAAGATATCTTTCTTTAAAATATTATCCTTCTCAGATTTGTAACAGAACAATCTGACATTAGCTTCATACCTAGGTAATGAAACCTAATTCTCAAGGATATAGGTGGAGGGAAAAGGCTAAATCCAACTATGTAAGTCTCCAAAGGAATTACATTATAACTTTCTAGAGGCAGAAGAAAGCTAGGAGATTGTCTTGTCTCAGCCCCTCATTTTAGAGAGGAAGGAAAGAGAAGTCAAGTTACATGTCCGCGATCACTCAGGTAGTTAATGGCAGAGCTGGGTCAAGGGTCCACACCCCAAAACCAATGGTCTTTCCATGGTATCACACAGAAAATCCACACTAGCCTTTAATGTTCAACAGTAATTATAATTAAAGGAAGAAGTCTGAAGATCACCCAAAGCCCACAGAAATATTTTTAAATGTCATCGGCCAACCATGCATGTTTTCTAAGCAGAGGATATTCAGTCGTGTAGAGAGAAAATCCTGAAGAAGAGGTGGAAAACAACTGGAGCTACACGGAGATAATTCTTCCCAAAATGTAGCATTTAGGGCAGAAACCCTTTTCTATTTAGCAGGGAGGGGGAAAAAAAAGCTTGATTCTGTATTTGCAATGGAATCAATTCTTCCTCAGTGATTTTATTTATCAGTTAAATATTTAACAACTATTCCTTGCCTCTATATTTCACCACCCAAAAAAATGAACATTGGGGAAATAAGAGACAAATATGGATAGTGTCCTCTGCCTAGTGAGGCTGATAAGATATGCACATAAATAATGATGCCGTTAGGCAGAACATATAGATACTATACACACACACAAAAGGTATGGCGAAAATGTCAGATCATCATAGAACACAAGTCAAAGGTCAGTTTAAAACCTGAAGTGGTACCAGTGACTGAAATACCAGCCACTCTCTATTTTTAAACTATTTTTTATCATCAAATTAAAATTGCTTCCAAATTTGCAATTATTTTACTGGATAGAAGAGTAACACAATGGTTTTCTCTAGCAAGCAATGTCTTCTACTGTAATTACCATTATTATTATTATTATTGTTATTATTATTATTATTATTATTATTATTTTGAAACAGAGTACACTCCCAGACCGGAGTGCAGTGGTGCCATCTTGGATCACTGCAGCCTCTGCCTCCTGGGTTCAAGCAATTGTCCTGCCTCAAGAGCCTCCCAGCTGGCTGGGATTACAGCTGCCCACAACATGCCTGGCTGATTTTTTGTATTTTTAGTAGAGATGGGGTTTAACCATATTGGCCTGACCTCAAGTGACCCATACACCTCAGCCTCCCAAAGTGCTGGTATTACAGGCATGATCCACAGCACCCGGCTTTTCTACGGTCATTATTGAAGTAAAATTTTAACTATTCTATAAGACTCTTTGGCCTAAATACAAGGCTCACAGTAAATGTAAATATTTATAAAGCAAAATGCAAATATTTCAGAAATCAGAATCAGGTCCCTTTTGTGGTTCCTTTTAAGAAAAATCTGACTACAGATTGAGGGAAAGGAAGTTGTCATTAACGATTTATATTTGGACAAATTCTGCAACCTGCTTTTTAAGGTGTACTATCTGCCACCATATTTAGGGAGCCACAAAATATCATACACTCAGGTTTTTTCCCCTGAAGAAAATACAGTTGCTTCTTATGGATGGAAATGAAATGCATTTAAAAGAATCAAAATGAACATTGAGAGATGTGGGAATAGAGTATCTGCTTTTTTTTTTTTTTTTTTNTCTCACTCCTGTTGCCCAGGCTGGAGTGTAGCAGTGCAATCTCGGCTCACTGCAACCTCTGCCTTCCATGTTCAAGGATTCTCCTGCCTCAGCCTCCCAAGTAGCTGGGATTACAGGCACCCGCCACCATACACAGCAAATTTTTGTATTTTTAGTAGAGATGGGGTTTCACCATGTTGGCTAGTTTGGTCTTGAACTCCTGACCTCGGGTGATCTGTCCACCTCAGGCTCCCAAAGTGCTGGGATTATAGGCATGAGCCGCTGAACCCAGCCAATATCTGCTTATTTTTTTTAACCACAACTGTTTGGCATTTGGGGAGAAAAGTTTTTCTTATTTGTATTTTGTTTTGATGGTTTTCTGGAAGGACAGAGAATGGGCAAAGAGCCACCACTCCTACTGAAAAATTAAGGTGGCAGCTTTGTACAAGTTCATCTACTGTGGTAACACTTAGTGGAAAAACTATGCTGTTGACCCAGTGTTAAATCAAAGGTGTTGCTAAATAATATAAGATCCCATTAATTTCAATATTTATAATTGTTAAAAATCAAGAAAAAAATCTAGGTAATTAAGTTCACAACGTATTGAGTGGATTCATCATTCATTATTTACTGAGCACAAATTATAGGCTAGGCATTGTGTCAATACAAATTCAAACACATCACCAAACACAAATCCACTAATAACTATAATGGTCAAACAAATCGTGAAAATAGCCTATCTAAGTACTAACATTCCAAGTAATGAGAACAGGTCATATTAGTGGAGCCAAGGACATGACCTCTATGAATAAGCTTCATGATCAGTTACAAACTGGATGGAAATTTGATCTTTAAAATAATTATGTACATATTTTCCTTTCAAAGAAAAGTAAACAAGGCAACTTTTATTCTAATGTCACAATAAAAGATAGGTTACTTTTCACCATTTATTTTGCCCCTTATGGAAAACAGTTTCATACCTGTTCTTCCAATAATTCCTGCCATAATATATTGATTTCTTGTAACCTACTCCAGCGTTCTTCAGTCCAGCGGCATACTGCTGTCCAGCGCTCACCAAGTTTCTAGAACAAGAAGAAACCGTCCTTGGTCAACACAGCTTTAAGAGGGGGTTATCACAATCCTTGAAGAAATTCACGATTTCCATTGTTCTTTATTACAGCATTGCAACTTACAAAAAGCATTTTTATAAAAGTTGCTTTAAAATAACACAAACTAGGCCTATAAATGTATGAATTAGAAAAACTAATTTCCATAGAATTGAACAAATGATTTCACATAGCTAGAAAGCAGCACAACTAGAACTCTGTCCTCTGTATCTTTGACTCCAAACCTGCTCTTTCTGTTTCTTTGTGGTTTTTATATGAGAATAGGACATTTTTACATATAATTTCTAAATAAAGCAAACCTATCTACTTTTTGTGCGTCAAATTTTTCAAATTTTTATCTAAAAAACCAGCATGTCTATTTCTTAACTCTCTTTTACATGCCAAGAAAATTTTCATCTGTAGTACCAACATTATGAAAAATGGTTAACTTATAAAAACTGTTTCAAATAAGAGAATTTTTATAAGACAATTTAAAAAATGATTTGTTGTTTATATTATGTGATCCATAAAAAATTCCCCATAAGTTACATAAACTAGCAACAGACTCTTACCAGTATTAGCAATACTAAATAGGCAGATAAATTTGATTATTTAAAAAATCACTTCATGATTATTTCCCCCAAAATCATTTTATTACAATTTTATAATGATTAACAAATCTTAAAATTTATTTTTGTACTATATACATGTGAACAATAATTATTTAATTCATATTGTACTATTTTGATAGTTAATATGAGAATAAGCTTTTCATAGTGCAAAAGGTAGAAAACTTAGAGCCAGAAGATAGATTTCCAGTCTCAGCATGATAACTCATTGTGTATTTAAATCTCAGGAGCATTGCTTAACCTCGCTGAAAGTCAGATTCTTCACTGGTAAACAGTCAAGGCATGAATACTTAGCTCTTAGGTTCTTATAATAACTAACTACTGCATGGAAGCTTTAGAACCGCTGGCCAACTTTAAATATTACAAATGCAAAAGGACCTCATGTGATAAAATTATGGTTTGGTTTGGATTGCCTCATTTAATGAGACATCTTATTTAAATAAAATGGCAATGTCTTACAAGGTAATCCAAGCATTGCTCAGATGAAATACCAATAAATTTATTTGTTAAAGACTTGTAAAGATCCACTATTGCCTTTGTGCAAAAATAAGCAATTTGTTGGAGTTTCAAAAACTGTTACTGAAATTCACACATTAATCTACCAAAAACACTGGGATATTGAATCCTACTGGCTGAAATTCTCAAACTTCAGTATGCACATAATTTTTTCTTACATTGAAAATTCACTGCACTCCTCCCTCACCTAGATTTAGGTTCTGGATAGAGCCTAGGAATCTACATTTTAACAAATTCCTCAAGTGCTTCTAAGAAAAAGTCAGTGGATCACTTAATAAGATCAGTTCCTGTGTGATATGATTTATCTGTGTCTCCTTCTAAATCACATCTTGCATTATAACTCCTACAATTCCCACATTTTATGGAAAGAACTTGGTAGGAGGTAATTAAAGCATGGGGGCAGGTCTTTCCCATGTTGTTCTCATGATAGTGAATAAGTCTCAAGAGATCTGATGGTTTCAATAAAGGGAATTTCCCTGCACAAGCTCTCTCTGTCTGCTGCCATGCATGTAAGATGTGACTTGCTCCTCTTTCCCTTCTGCCATGATTGTGAGGCCTCCCCAGCCATGTGGAACTGTAAGTCCACTGCACCTCTTTTTCTTCCCAGTCTCAGGTATGTCTTTATCAGCAGTGTGAAAATGAACTAATACAGTAAATTGGTACCAGTAGAGTGGCATGCTGCTGAAAGATACCTGAAAACATAAAAATGACTTTGGAACTGGGTAACAGGCAGAGGTTGGAACAGTTTGGAGGACTCAGAAGAAGACAGAAAAATGTGGGAAAGTTTGGAACTTCCTAGAGACTTATTGAATGGCTTCGTGGGCTGGAACCAAGGTCCCCATGCTTTGTGCAGTCTAGGGACTTAGTGCCCTGTGTCCCAGCTGCTATAGCCATAACTAAAAGGGGCCAAGCTCAGGCCATGGCTTCAGAGGGTTAAGCCCCAAGCCTTGGCAGGTTCTATGTGGTGTTGAGCCTGCGGGTACACAGAAGTCAAGAATTGAGGTCTGAGAACATCCACCTAGATTTCAGAGGACGTATGGAAGTGCCTGGATATCCCAGCAGAAGTTTGCTGCAACGGTGGGGCTTTCATGGAGAACCTCTGCTATGGCAGTGCAGAAGGAAAATGTGGCCCACATAGAATCCCTACTGGGGCACTGCCTAGTGGAGCTGTGAGAAGAAAGCCATCATTCTCCAGACCCCAGAATGATAGATTCACTGACAGCTTGCACCATGAACCTAGAAAAGCCACAGACACTCAACATCGGCCCATGAAAGCAGTCAGGAGGGGGTCTACTCCCTACAAAGCCACAGGGGCAGAGCTGCCCAAGAACATGGGAACCCAACTTTTGCATAGGCGTGACCTGGATGTGAAACATGAAGTCAAAGAAGATCATTTTGGAGCTTTAAGATTTGACTCTGCCCCACCAGATTTCATACTTGATGGGGACTGTAGCCCCTTTGTTTTGGCCAATTTCTCCCATTTGGAATGACTGTGTTTACCTAATGTCTGTACCCCTGTTGTAACTAGGAAGTAGCTAACTTGCTTTTGATTTTACAGGCTCATAAGCAGAAGGGTCTTGCCTTGTCTCAGATGAGACTTTAAACTGTGAACTTTTGAGTTAATGCTGAAGCGAGTTAAGACTTTGGGGAAGCTATTGGGAAAGCATGATTGGTTTTGAAATGTGAGGACATGAGCTTTGGGAGGGGTCGGGGCAGAATGATATGGTTTGCATGTGTCTCCAAGCCTCATCTTTAATTGTGACTCCCACAATTCCCAAGTTTCATGAGAAGAACCTGGTGGGAGGTAACTGAATCATGGGGTTTCTTTCCCAAGCTGTTCTTGTGATAGTAAATAAATTTCACAAGACCTGGTGGCTTTAAAAAAACGGAGTTTCCCTGCACGAGCTCTCTCTTTTGGCCTGCCACCATCCATGTAAGAGGTGACTTGTTCCTCCTTCCTTCTGCTATGATTGTGAGACCTCCTCAGCCACGTGGAACTGTAAGTCCATTAAACCCCTTTTTCTTCCCAATATCAGGTATGTCTTTACTGGCAGCGTGAAAACGGACTAGTATCCTGTGCTTCCAAATCTTGTCATTATGCATAAGGAAGCTGGCGACTGCAACCAATCCCACCCATTCACCCCAAGAGCTGAAGTAAAGGAATCAATACCTGGGTACTCCTGTAAAGCACACACTATAGAATCATAACTGGGCAATATAACCAAAGGTGGGTTTTTCTACCCTTCTGGATAAAGAATGAGAAAGGACATGAAGAATAGAGGCAATATGTAAGTGGGTCTCAGACCACAGGTCCCTCAGGATTATCCAACTTTATAGGGCCCTTACCTGTAACTGGTCTTCTAGAATAGCTGTAGCACTCTCACCACTGTTTTCATCAACAATGACCACCATGTGAGTTAATGAATTTACTTTCACCTGTTCAGCCTCAAGATCACTTTGCAAACTCTAGAGAAAAAATTAAGATAAACCATTATTTCTACTCTTTCACATTTACCTATTTAAAATGCACTCAGTTGTCAATAGTAATTAAGGACACTTAATGAGGCCTCATATTTAAATTTCCAATCATTACCCTAAGTGTTCTACTAATGAAACTAATCCTATTATACATCTTTACATTTCATTATCAGCAAAGGTAGTTTGAGGATGCAATGTCATAACAGACTGCAAATGGCAATATCACCACTTTTATTCAAGTTCCGGCCTTCCCCAGAATTTAGAGCATAAAAGAGTTGAGCATCCATACTAGGAATTAAGACAAAAGTGTAGAAGTGGTAAAGCAAAAAAGTCCAGAGCTTAAACATACAAAGTCAGAGATCATTTTATCTAGTGTAGGATGGTACAAAGAGATAAGTAGAATGCTACATGATACTCAAGAGTTACTCTGATTACCTACAAGAGAACGCAATTAAGGAAGTATGGACACCTTCAACTCTCTCACCTTTTCCATGAGAAGAGCATAGTCATCGGATACATGTGTATAGAAAATTTATAGGCCAGGCGTGGTGGCCCACACCTGTAATTCCAGCAGTTTGGGAAGCCGAGGCAGGTGGATCACTCGTGGTCAGAAGTTCAAGACCAGTCTGACCAACCTGGTACAAACCCAATGCTACTAAAAATACAAAATTTAGCCAGGCATGGTGGCATGTGCCTGTAGTCTCAGCTATTTGGGAGGTTGAGGTGGCAGAATTGCTTGAACCCAGGAGGTGGAGGTTGCAATGAGCCAAGATCATGCCATTATATTCCAGCCTGGGTGACAGAGCAAGACTGTCTCAAAAAAAAAAAAAAGAAGAAGAAAATTTATTTAAACACTATCAGTGATGTTCTCAAATGCTTCTCAGAGTTGTGTTTAATGTATCCCTAAAGTTTTACTTATCAGTTATCCATGTTTCACTCATCAATAAAATTCTTCAATTTAGAGAGCATATTTTACTCTACCTTTCCTTATCTTCACTATGAAAAATTTGTCTCCTAAACTTGTGACCAAATTAAATTGCCCACCAAATTTTGGTTTCCCATTTAATGCCTGCTGCTTTCCTGGATTAGAGACGAAGAAACAGCTCTCCTTACAGGACTGGGTGCAGACACCTCTCAGAATGTGCTCTTCACCCACATACCGCATGAATGCCAACATGCTAAGGTTCATTTTTTGTTTTTTGAGTTTTTCAGTGGCATACAAACACAGTCAACTTGCTAGGCTTCTCACCCACTTACAGGGCCAAAAGAACTCTTCTCTAGTTGTATGAAACCTATGTACTTTCATAAGAAAATGGCACAGCACATATAGAATTTTACCTGCCCTTTCATCCCTGGCTCAGAAAAGTCTCATCCCCATGAAATCCACCCTGTGAGCTGCTAAATGAAGAGAACCCTGAAGAAGTGTCTCCACCTCGTGTTAATGATAGACGTCATCAGCCTCTGAGATGCTAAGTGCTGCTCTTTCGTATTTGATAAGGTATAAAAGAAATGTGAGACAGATTTACTTTATGTTCTTCGAGCAGCTTTTGTAGAGATTTTACATCGTCGTCCAGGGGGCAAGTTTCCATCTTCTGAATGCGCTCCTCTGTGAGTGTTAACCAAGTGGAGAGCTGCTGCAGCTGCTTCTTCTGCAGTTCCATCAGCACGTCGTGCAGTCTGTACGTGGGGAGCACAGCATTATTCCTACAAGCTTTTTCCCTGTGCAAAGTCAAATATATATTCTGGGCACTGGAGATACAGGGCAAGGGAAGGCACCCTAGTCTAAACATTCAAGGTAGCATTTAGCCTTTAAATAGAGAAGCCAGAAAAGTCAACTTTTATTTCTTCCTAAATGGAGTTCATTAAATGCAGACAAAGAATGCAAATAATGGCACCTCATATTCATATCAGAATCATTGTTTCTTCAATCAGGAATTCCTGCTTATTAAATAGGTGGAAATGGCAATGAATGCAGTTTGCTCCTTAATACACAATACATGAAATAAAATAAACCATGAGAAAGCTTTTAAAAAATTACAAAATGGAACAGTAGATCAATACTACATAGACCTGTCTTCATACCCAGTTAATGTTTAGCTGATTTTAATATTGCAAATAAGTAACTGTCCATATGAAATGTCTCTTCCTTTTTTTTTTTGAGACCGTCTCACTCTGTCGCCCAGACTGGAGTGCAGTGACGCGATCTCAGCTCACTGCAACCTCCACCTCCTGGGTTGAAGCGACTGTCATGCCTCAGCCTCCAAATAGCTAGGATTGCAGGTGTGGTCCACCATGTCCAGCTAATTTTTGTATTTTTAGCAGAGAAGGAGTTTTGCCACATTGCCCAGGCTGGTCTTGAACTTCTGGCCTTAAGTGATCCACCCACCTCAGCTCCCAAGCGCTGGGATTATAAGCATGAGCCACCACACCTGTTTTCTTTCCCGTTTTTGTTAAGTTCTGCATTCCAACTTTGGCCTTTTGGTTTGGCTAACACATCAAAGGGGAAACAAGGATCATGCAGAATTCCAGCAATATTACCCATAGAAAAGAGTCTTACTTTTCCAAGGCAAGTTCTGTATGATCTTGCTTTCACAGACATGCAGACACCTTCTAGAGCTCAACTGTGCAAAGCAGCCTGTGGAATTAAGTGCATGTCTTGGCTTTCCACTCACCGGGACTGTCTGTCCATACTCTCCACCCTAAGGGCCTCCCATCTAGCATTCAGCAGGGTCATCTGTTCCTGAATCTCAAATTCCTCTTCGTCTGTCAGAGTTCCTTGTGTTATCAGTTGGTTGCCTGCCTGCAGGACGCTGCCCACACTGCTCTGATGTGCAGTCAGTTCCATCATAAAAGCCTAGAAAGGGACATTGTTATGATTTGTGAGCTTCTCA